AAGTTCTGTATATCTACACTATCTCATAACCGCAAAATCCATGGTTCCTACTTTAAGCTACCTTCAAGGCAGTTTTTAAGTAGATGCAACAAGATTCTTGTCAAGTCGCATCCTCTTAGCTCTGTTTCAAACAACCGAACATGCTGGAGCTGCAACAGGTTAGTATCAGATGTAAATTTTTTCTGTGAATGTGGAAAGTTACAGCCACTTAACATTAATTGGACGTACTTTGATGTTTTGGGTTACTCGAGTCCTCAACCTGTTATTGATATATCTGAACTAACTGACCGGATGAGGCAATGCCAAAAAATATTACACCCGGACAAATTCAGCGGGAAGTCTTCGTACGAAGTAGCACTAGCCTCAGATGCCTCTTCATTCATCAATAAAGCGTATGATGTCTTGCAAAAGCCAGTGAAGCGCTATGAATACATTTTAGATCTTCATGGAATGTCAACTGATAATCCTGAGTTTCAAAAACTAGATAATTCTGTTTTTCTGTCTGAAGTGATGGATATAATAGAAGAAGTTAGAGATGTCATTGACAGGATCACAAACTTGAGTCGCTCAGGAAATATCGTTGAACTGACGAATGATCTCAGTAGACTTGTGTGCGATCTTCATCAAAGATTGGATGATCAAGAGAAAATCGTCATAGACTTCATCAAGAATTCAGACTGGTCCAATGCCTTGGTATACTTTTCACAATATAAATATATTTTGAAAGTTTTGGAGGAGCTCCGAGAACACGAGTTGACTTGGAAAAAATTGGGTATTGATGTGAGTACTACCTGATAAGAGTTTACGAAAGGTGAGCTATTTATCATTCTACAGTCATTATAGTACTCATTTCATTGCCACCTGCCAAAATGCATGCATTTGTGTATATACTTATTCGAGTATAGGAGTTCGGGTGATGCGTGCTAACCTCCTGCCATTATTATCGGAAATATTGTTTTCTTTTTATCCTTTCACTTACAATAATATATGAGCTTTGAAAAAATTGCTCGGATTCTTCCTATTGAACGAGTTTTTTGTGTAAATATTTCGATGCAACTATGTGTCACGTAGGCTGAAGAATTTGAAGTCAATAGCGCAGTTGTTCTAGGTATTTAGTTTAATTTATTCGGACAGTATTACTCAGTGGGCGGTTTCAAAAAATTGATATTTATTGACAATATAAACTTCAAAAGTATTCACTACAGGTGTTTTTGTGATGGTATTGTTTTTAGTAGAAATGGGTTTGTGCTAGAAGAGCTCAGTGTGAGCAGATCAAAAAGGGATTGACTGTTGATCTGAACTGTGTAGAGTAACATTAGCTTTTTGGAATCTACACGAACATCTAAATCTGCGGTTGGATACAGGATTCGTTATGACGCGGAGTCGACAGCGCTAAATGCGATTGTGTAGGTGATTTCATTAGTGGGGAATAAATTCTGGAGCATGGTTGTTGATGCTTGCGGCAACAGCTTGCTCCACATCGATCGGATTAGTGCATTCTTCCGCAGAGTTAGATGTACTGTGGTTATGTTTGACTTGTAGGTGAGTTTCGTTTGAGTGTATCGTGCGAGTCAAAAGACTACTCGAGCTGACGCAGGCATGTAAAGGCGCACAGAGGTTTACCACATGAAGTGATAACAACCACTGGTGTCTGTTAGGGATGTCCATTGCCAACATATTGTCTAGTTTCGTAGTAGATATTCTTTTAAAATTATCTTTATCTGACTTCATCGACTTGAGGACTTTTTACTAGCGGATAATGTCGACTTAGAGTATGTGGAGACCATTGTCTTTCTAGGTGAAGATGCTGGTAAGATGGTCTTCTGAACACAAGGAGCAGAGAACCTCGAATGTTTGGCATGCGATTCGCACCTGCCAGATGTAAGACGCTGCTGCCGAACTGGATTACGTTAACTCCTAATTTAGAGGTAGGAACTGAGGTGGTTAGGCATGTTGTCTACCTCACATATTTGGAAAGTTGCATCAGCGGACGAAATCTCATCAGAAATGTAAAGGGGTCTTGTGGCATTTCCTAACTTACGTCATCTTTGGCTTAAATGTGGAATCTGACTATCGGTTAAAGAACTTGTGTACTTCACAGAAGTTCACTCTATCTTCCCTAATGGATGTGAGACATGAATATTGAAAATGGAAGATATGAATGTGTAGACTGTCTTTGACTATAGACGTTTGCGGCCTGTGTCCATTTTTAAGTGGTGTAATATCGTGAGCACTTTTGAAGTTAGGCGTAACCATGTGTAAAGAGGGCAAGTAAATCGATGAAATTTTCAAGCTACATTAGTTAGTATGGCTAAGACACGTGCATGCGGAGCCACGGCCTTCCTCGTCGAGCATTGTGAGGAGTAAGTAAACGGAACCTAACATAAGTCCATGAAGTCTTCAACTCTTGGTTCCAACCGAATAAAGATGTGCAAACTGTCTGTCGGTGTTTAAAGTAATCTCCCACATCTACTAAAGCCTTATGCATTTCATGTTACTGTTCTGTCTCGCATAATTCTGTTAATTATGGTTCTTCTAAACTTCTCTTTTCTCTGCTTTTGTATAAACTGCTGAACTTTTATGCATTTCTATGTTGAAACTCAGTCTGTCACAATGAACGAGGATGTGCGAATGGAAGAATAAGTACATGGAGATTAATGAGTTTGATAGATCAGGAAGTTCATAGCGAGTGAATACATCTCTGCCATTAAGACTAGTTTTTATCTAAACTATCGAAGGCCTCCAGACACTGGTTCCTAGTCCCGATGACTCCAGCCAATCAATTTACACATCACGCGAATCGAATCAACAGTCAAGATTGGTTGATTCTGTCTCTGGATTTGATCACACCTGACTGGTCCAACCCAATACTATATCACCTAACATTTCTCGATAAGAAATGCAAACAGTTGGCGAATCCTAGCGACCTCATTCGATTTAGCTTCACAACCTTATTGATTGTTTCCTCACTTATTCAGTGGGACGATAACGAAGTAGTATTTTTGGTGTAAAACACATGCTGAAAAACAGCTGAAAAACTGAAAGTCGCATGAATGCACTGAGCTGGTAGTGAAAACTTTCGAAACCAAAGAAATAATTCATTTTAACTGCAACGGAAACAAAAAATTGGGTGAAACGCAACATTTGTGAACAATACGCAACATGATAAGTCGTGAATCACTGCAGGATAAACGGAAAAACAAACGCGTAGACGAACAGCTACGGTAGTGCAAACCAACGTGGCCGACCAGTATGGACGAAAATGACCTTTGAGGGTCTCATTTCACCAATGACCTTGTAAGTTACGGATAATTTCAGTCCTATGCGGCTTGTCACAGAAGGCGACTTGCAAGTTATGTAGTGCCAGCGCCATCAGTAAATCTATTCAAGAGGGGAACAGACAAATGGAGGTACTCAAAAGAAAAACGTCTGCATAAACTCCAGGCTTTCTATCCCTAGTAGAGAATAATAATTGGTGAGAATGATGATTCAGTTTACAATGTTTGTGTGGCTTATTTGATGTGTGCGTTGCTTTCACGTGTTGGGACTGGTTCAGTCGTCCTGAGATGTCTTGCATCACACAAGTTCTGTATATCTACACTATCTCATAACCGCAAAATCCATGGTTCCTACTTTAAGCTACCTTCAAGGCAGTTTTTAAGTAGATGCAACAAGATTCTTGTCAAGTCGCATCCTCTTAGCTCTGTTTCAAACAACCGAACATGCTGGAGCTGCAACAGGTTAGTATCAGATGTAAAGTTTTTCTGTGAATGTGGAAAGTTACAGCCACTTAACATTAATTGGACGTACTTTGATGTTTTGGGTTACTCGAGTCCTCAACCTGTTATTGATATATCTGAACTAACTGACCGGATGAGGCAATGCCAAAAAATATTACACCCGGACAAATTCAGCGGGAAGTCTTCGTACGAAGTAGCACTAGCCTCAGATGCCTCTTCATTCATCAATAAAGCGTATGATGTCTTGCAAAAGCCAGTGAAGCGCTATGAATACATTTTAGATCTTCATGGAATGTCAACTGATAATCCTGAGTTTCAAAAACTAGATAATTCTGTTTTTCTGTCTGAAGTGATGGATATAATAGAAGAAGTTAGAGATGTCATTGACAGGATCACAAACTTGAGTCGCTCAGGAAATATCGTTGAACTGACGAATGATCTCAGTAGACTTGTGTGCGATCTTCATCAAAGATTGGATGATCAAGAGAAAATCGTCATAGACTTCATCAAGAATTCAGACTGGTCCAATGCCTTGGTATACTTTTCACAATATAAATATATTTTGAAAGTTTTGGAGGAGCTCCGAGAACACGAGTTGACTTGGAAAAAATTGGGTATTGATGTGAGTACTACCTGATAAGAGTTTACGAAAGGTGAGCTATTTATCATTCTACAGTCATTATAGTACTCATTTCATTGCCACCTGCCAAAATGCATGCATTTGTGTATATACTTATTCGAGTATAGGAGTTCGGGTGATGCGTGCTAACCTCCTGCCATTATTATCGGAAATATTGTTTTCTTTTTATCCTTTCACTTACAATAATATATGAGCTTTGAAAAAATTGCTCGGATTCTTCCTATTGAACGAGTTTTTTGTGTAAATATTTCGATGCAACTATGTGTCACGTAGGCTGAAGAATTTGAAGTCAATAGCGCAGTTGTTCTAGGTATTTAGTTTAATTTATTCGGACAGTATTACTCAGTGGGCGGTTTCAAAAAATTGATATTTATTGACAATATAAACTTCAAAAGTATTCACTACAGGTGTTTTTGTGATGGTATTGTTTTTAGTAGAAATGGGTTTGTGCTAGAAGAGCTCAGTGTGAGCAGATCAAAAAGGGATTGACTGTTGATCTGAACTGTGTAGAGTAACATTAGCTTTTTGGAATCTACACGAACATCTAAATCTGCGGTTGGATACAGGATTCGTTATGACGCGGAGTCGACAGCGCTAAATGCGATTGTGTAGGTGATTTCATTAGTGGGGAATAAATTCTGGAGCATGGTTGTTGATGCTTGCGGCAACAGCTTGCTCCACATCGATCGGATTAGTGCATTCTTCCGCAGAGTTAGATGTACTGTGGTTATGTTTGACTTGTAGGTGAGTTTCGTTTGAGTGTATCGTGCGAGTCAAAAGACTACTCGAGCTGACGCAGGCATGTAAAGGCGCACAGAGGTTTACCACATGAAGTGATAACAACCACTGGTGTCTGTTAGGGATGTCCATTGCCAACATATTGTCTAGTTTCGTAGTAGATATTCTTTTAAAATTATCTTTATCTGACTTCATCGACTTGAGGACTTTTTACTAGCGGATAATGTCGACTTAGAGTATGTGGAGACCATTGTCTTTCTAGGTGAAGATGCTGGTAAGATGGTCTTCTGAACACAAGGAGCAGAGAACCTCGAATGTTTGGCATGCGATTCGCACCTGCCAGATGTAAGACGCTGCTGCCGAACTGGATTACGTTAACTCCTAATTTAGAGGTAGGAACTGAGGTGGTTAGGCATGTTGTCTACCTCACATATTTGGAAAGTTGCATCAGCGGACGAAATCTCATCAGAAATGTAAAGGGGTCTTGTGGCATTTCCTAACTTACGTCATCTTTGGCTTAAATGTGGAATCTGACTATCGGTTAAAGAACTTGTGTACTTCACAGAAGTTCACTCTATCTTCCCTAATGGATGTGAGACATGAATATTGAAAATGGAAGATATGAATGTGTAGACTGTCTTTGACTATAGACGTTTGCGGCCTGTGTCCATTTTTAAGTGGTGTAATATCGTGAGCACTTTTGAAGTTAGGCGTAACCATGTGTAAAGAGGGCAAGTAAATCGATGAAATTTTCAAGCTACATTAGTTAGTATGGCTAAGACACGTGCATGCGGAGCCACGGCCTTCCTCGTCGAGCATTGTGAGGAGTAAGTAAACGGAACCTAACATAAGTCCATGAAGTCTTCAACTCTTGGTTCCAACCGAATAAAGATGTGCAAACTGTCTGTCGGTGTTTAAAGTAATCTCCCACATCTACTAAAGCCTTATGCATTTCATGTTACTGTTCTGTCTCGCATAATTCTGTTAATTATGGTTCTTCTAAACTTCTCTTTTCTCTGCTTTTGTATAAACTGCTGAACTTTTATGCATTTCTATGTTGAAACTCAGTCTGTCACAATGAACGAGGATGTGCGAATGGAAGAATAAGTACATGGAGATTAATGAGTTTGATAGATCAGGAAGTTCATAGCGAGTGAATACATCTCTGCCATTAAGACTAGTTTTTATCTAAACTATCGAAGGCCTCCAGACACTGGTTCCTAGTCCCGATGACTCCAGCCAATCAATTTACACATCACGCGAATCGAATCAACAGTCAAGATTGGTTGATTCTGTCTCTGGATTTGATCACACCTGACTGGTCCAACCCAATACTATATCACCTAACATTTCTCGATAAGAAATGCAAACAGTTGGCGAATCCTAGCGACCTCATTCGATTTAGCTTCACAACCTTATTGATTGTTTCCTCACTTATTCAGTGGGACGATAACGAAGTAGTATTTTTGGTGTAAAACACATGCTGACATTCGTGTTCTGACTCTCTGTTGATATCATCGTCTCGTAGGATAATTTTGTGGTGCAGATAATGTCTGAGATATAAGCACAAAAGGAGATAGCGGACCTTTAGTTTTTACAGTGTCTGCACCTTATTTACCCAGGGTTAAATGAAAAGCTTGTTCGAAGACAAATTGAATTTTTGTTTAAAGTATCCTACCAGTCTGTCTAAAGTTGTTAAAGCTTAATCACTGCAGGAGATTGCTTCATCTTCCCCAGATATTTTTTGATCCCTTCTCTCAAATTAGTTGAGACCTACTACATAAAGTTGACGTCTTTTCTACTTGTTTCCCTTCGTCAACCATCGTTACTCACAGTTGTTGCCAGCAGGATCAAGCCTTTTCGAGTTCGAAGTAATTTAAGATATTTTTATAGGTTTATAAGGCTCACACATTTGAAGTTATTGTTGCAGTTTGCTTACTGTTTCTGAAGTATTGCTTACAGATTCCAGCTGCTATGCGAACTTCGTATTTGTGAATAAGTTGTTTGCTAGATTACGCATGTATATATATATATATGTTTCCAAAGTATAATGAAATAAGAATATTTTGAACAGATTGGAGTTTTGGTTCATTTTGACCGATAGGTGATACTGTCTAGCCTAGCTCCACCTAATTCAGCTTGGCAACTAAGCAGTATTCATTACCTCCCACCCAAGCGTGGATCATACACAGCTTGATACGTGAGAAATCCGTTTTGTGTAACCGGGTTTCAATTAATTAATTGATTAACTAAAGTATTCACTGTATAATTAAGCTTGTTCTTTGAGGATCTGCTGCTTAGCTCAACGTTACGAAAAAGTACATCTAGAGGTTGGCGATTTGCAAGATCGTTTTTCTCTATGATAGTCGTATTAACTGGCTTGTGAAGATTTCTTGTTTGATGAATGTACATGATATACTGTGTTTATTCAATCATGATGCGTATGACTGCCAGAAATTGTGAACACTGGTCGGTGGTGACACTACTTATTCTTGAGATTTGCCTCTGGGTACAGAGAGAGCCAGGCAGGCTTTAGACTAGGAAGAGGGTGTATTGATCATATCTTCACCCTCCGATAGATTCTAGAACATAGGCATCCAACATAGGGACCGGCGTCCAACAATCATTATATTTCTTGACCTAAAGTCGGCATTCGATTCTGTCGACCGAGAGGTTCTCTGGAGATGCTTGGCTGTAAAGGGAATTCCGAGAAAATATATTGCACTGATTAAGGCACTCTACTCGTACTCATACAGCCAGGTGAGGGCTTACGGCGAGTTGTCATCTGAATTGGTGACGACTAGTGGTGTCCGTCAAGGATGCCCATTATCCCCTTTTCTATTCAACTTCATCATATATGTACTAATGGACTTAATCCTAAGTGACTTCAGCGACTCAGGGATTGACTTGCTACCAGGGAGGGAATAATCTCGTTGACTTGGAATATGCAGACGATATAGTCCTTCTAGGCGAAGACGCTGACGAAATGCAGAGTCTTCTAAACACCTTGAGCCGCAATCTACGAATGTTTGGCATGCGATTCACTGCCGCCAAATGCAAGATGATGTTACAGGACTGGACTACATCGACGCCTAGTTTAAAAATAGGAAGTGAAGTGGTAGAGCACGTTGACCGCTTCACTTATTTGGGAAGTACCATCAGCCAACGCCAACGGGTTGATCTCTGACGAAATCTCAGCTGAGGACGGATACAGGGGGCTGGTTTCTCATTTGCCAGTTTACGCCGACTCTGGCGTAGACGAGATGTTCGACTATCGACCAAAGGGCGGATGTACTGCTCATCAGTCCGCTCCGTCCTCCTTTATGGTTGTGAGACCTGGTCACTGAGAGTGGAAGACATGAAAAGACTAGCTGTCTTTGATCATAGGTGCCTGCGTTCTATTTCCCGTGTAAAGTGGCATAATAAGGTGAGCAATATTGAGGTTAGGCGTCGAGCATTTGGTAAGGAGGGGAAATCAATCGACGAAGTTGTGAAGTTACAAAGACTGAGATGGTTAGGACATGTTACGTATGCCTAGTCAGCGATCGCCTTCCTCGACGAGCAATGTTAGCGGATATAGGGTCAGGCTGGAAAAAAGCTAGCGGAGGTTAAACAAAAACTTGGCACCAGTCAATGAAATCCACAACAGTTGGTCTAAGCCACGTAGGAAGGTGTAGACTTCCTGACTTGTTGGGGTCCTCGGGACGGTAAAAACAAATGGTTGGAAACAATTGGTGACATGGCTCAAAATCGTTGTCAATGGCTGGCGCAGATGCATCCACTCCCTGTGACTTATGATTTCCAATGAAACTGTTTTGTTCTTCGTTATTACTCTTCCTTTGTCTCACACCTCTGCTTACTGTCTCTATTATGCTTTTCTTGTACTTTCTTCTCTTGCTTCGCGTGCTACACGGAGTGTGGCGACTTGAACTTCCGCACATTTGTGCAAAGTTCTATGTCGAAAACAGACAGACAGCTGTGCGTCTCCATTGCATTCTGTTTTCTGCCAACTTTTTCACTCCGTTCGAAGTCTGCCCACATGCTTTCATCTCCTCTTCACATAACCTCCTTCAAGTCACCCTTGCACTGACGACCAACTCGCCACTTCCTTTTCGGGTTCCACTCGAGCAACGGATTGTCTAGTGATGTCAATTGATGGTTTCCTAAGAGTATGGCCAGCCAATCCATCTTCATTTCTTCCTGCCTATTTGTTTCACAATCCGTTCCTGGTTGGTTCGCTCCCAGAGATCCGTGTTGCTGATCTTTTCTGGCAACCAACTGAGTTAACTAAGAGACTTCTAATATTAACGCCAACTGTCAATGTAGCTGGAGAATATTGATTTTGTCGAATTAATTATTGCAACAGCAGCATATTTTAATGACATTTGCTGAATAAGTGTCTGACCATCTATTTATATCATAATCAAATATGTACGATCATAGTGAGATTAAGATTTGAAACGCATCATATCAACTCATTGTAATTATCTGAGCAATGTGGCATGTACCATCATCTAGTATGAAGCAACAGTCAGTGAATCACAGCAACTCATATATTCAATCTGGAGTTTTTATTATTGGCTAGGCCGTTACTTTAAAAAAAGTATATCCTATAGCTGAAATTGCATTCTTTCTCAGTCTATCACACATCACTAAATATTTAAGCAGGTAACAGAAGAAACCGGTATGTGTTATGTTAGCCCATAGTGTTTGACAGTGATGTATTCAATAGAGTATTTGGGAATGTACTTTACGTGTGTGTGCTTGAAATGCAGGCTAATAAAGAGAAAACATTTTAAAATTAATGTTATCTGTCAATATTTGACTGTATCCTTGTCCATTTTGGTATACAACTGTAAGGAAGACACTCGACGCTTTTATATCTCTGTCTATAAGGTTTGCAGGATTTAAAACTGAACACATCCAATCATTGCGAAAAATCCTACTGATTTAAAAAACTCCTAAAGTGTCTATAATAAGTGTAATGCTCTCAAAGAACCACAGAAATTCAGCAATTTCCCCGATTGATAAGTTAGTTGAAACACGTAGAAGAGTAATCTAGCCGCCTTCCAGTACCACACTGGAAGGGATATAATGATTGATCCTGGAGGTGAACAGGCGGTTTCTGAAGCTTTTTCTAATGTAAAACGCTTTTATTTCTGTTGCTTCGGATCTAAATGTTAACTGCAAATATTTTTAAAGAACTTTTTCAGTCTCTGTTTTGAACTACACTTTATGAGAAATAACTGATGCGTATCTGTGATATGCATCCAATCAGTAATGAACTTAACCAAACAATGGGTCGAAGTACTTCACAACTTATCCTTATTTGTTGACAGCTCCCAAATCACTTCAAAACT